GACCTGTCACGTCGCGACATTTGTGGATGTTGCTGTTGCAAGTAGACAGAGAAGTGACGAGCCAGACAGCCCAGACGACAGATTGACCACCGCACAGAGATGAGCTGTCATCCGGCTAAATCTTAGTCGGCCTCTGGATGCAGCGAAAGCTCTTTACGCTGAAGAGCTGATAATACTACTAAGATATATAGTCGAATATGCAAGTGTGTGGACAGATAACAATATCTACTAGTATTACCCACTTGGCAGCATTCTACAATTCATATGCAAATGCTTGGCTTGCGTGCTGAGGTAGTTGCAGTGGCAATGCATAATAAACAAATCCTTTAAATTTGCAAATTGGCTGGCAACGTCATTAAGCGTCCTCTCTTTAACATCATCATCACTGTACATTGTCAACGTCATCATTAGCATAGCCATTATCATTATCATTAACATCTCATAGTCATAGGATGAAAGTGAATGCACTTTTATATGCATGGCTGCTAATTACAGCGACAGCTTGTCTATCTCTCAGTCTTTCAGCCAGCCTCCCCTGCTGCGATTGTCGCCACGTTTCCCCAGAGCTAAACGATTTCTTTTGTATGAAATTATTTAGCACATTTCTCGCTTATTGTGGCGCTTATAATTTCTATTATTTTTTTTTATAATTTACGCTCGCTGTTTTTGTCACTTTTGGTTGCGGCAATGCATATAAGTGCACCTAATTGCGGTTGCTTGCAAAAGAGCCTGATACTGTTTACTATGCAAATTTGGGTTAGCGTTAAACTGTTTAATTTAGGTAATTTTGCTACTATTGGGGTCAACGCATGACACAAGGTAACTTTTTGTATTATTTTCTATTATTTTAGCAACATAATTCTTGTTCAAATTTCTGTTTTTTTTTTTTTTAAATATAAATTCATTTGGTTTAATGCGATTAGATTCCGAATTTAACTGTATCTAAAAATATATTTCCAAAATGTTCAATCTAATAGTTCAGTTTATAAATCATACGCTCCGGCTTCTGGCAAAATTGTGAATTTTTTTAATTTGACTACATAATAATATAGAAGACTCAGGCACAATAGAGCTAAAAAAATAACTATCATATTAACAGCATTTTTATTCAACATTCTTTTGATGATAAAGAAATTAACTGCAAGACAATGTGTAATAATTTCAAGTACATATCGTATTTGGATACTATAGCCTTATAACCTGATGCATACAAAGATAATTCATAATTGAACTATGTAAATTTGAGCAGAGTTTTTAATATGGTTTATTGTGAGAGGTTTCTCAGCGCTCAATTAATTAGAAACGGCCGTTATTTCAGCTTTTAATTAATTATACATATGAATAAACCTAGACGATGATGTTGTTGCGGACGGCGCCGTTGGTGGATCGGCTTGGACCTAGGCTTTGAATGCTGGCATTGACTTTTCAATTGAAACAAATCATTATTTGAGCATCGTATATATCTTTTTCAATTGACCGAGCCATGAGCGATGAGCAAAGTCAGCTAACGCTAGCTGTTGGAGCGTGTCAAAAGATCGCACCCAAATGCATCCGTATCAGATATCACAAAGCTATCATTGCTGACTTTCAATGCATAAATATGTATTTTTTATGATCGGAATATGCATAGATTAATTTTTTTTACTATGTGATAGTAATTAGAAAATCGACATGGTCCATTGCAGCCATATTTGCATAGTGTGGAATATGACGAAAGTGTATGCCCAGTTTGTAAACAAAATCTTTAGGGGCAATCAGCTAACAAATTGGCAGCGAAAACCAGATCGCCCGATTAATGCAAACTACGTCACAGCGCCAACGCTAAATATATCTTGCTATTCGCTAAAAGTTAGTTGAATATATCAAATGCCTGTGACTTACACTTGGGATCTGAAATAAATAAGTGCTGCAGTTCGTTGATATATGGCAATAGTAATTCAACAATTTATCTATAGACTGATCTTTAGAAATCAATTCCATTGCATTTAACAATCAGTCTTATTGAATTCCTGAAAAAAATTTTAATTACTATACATTTGTTAAAAGGTAATTGGAATTTATTGAAAGAATGCAATTAGAAAGTACATCTAGCTGATTTAATATATCTGTGAGGTAGTGTACAGTGGAATCTAGTAACTAGCTCTACATGAACTAAAGATTTTTATGTTTTATCAGTTTGTAGTTTGTTTTTTTTTTTTCATTTTATGTTTCTTACAATATAAATAATATGTCTCAAATTTTTTATCATCATTTGAGTATTTAAATATTAAGAATTTCTGACTATAAATAAGCCGAATTTCTTAACAATTTATAGAGTATTTCGGCTGCGACCATTCAATACAATTCATTTGATATTTTGTATTTTTTTGTAATATATTAATTGGAATATTCAATTAAAATCAACCTGTAGATTTTATTTTGCATAACACGGGTATTGTGTTGATGAAAACGGAGGCTGGCCTGGTACTGGGTTGGTTGATCTATTAGGTTGCTTGGTCAGTTAGTTGGGCGACAGCTGCAAAATGCAATTAGTGTTATTTTCAGCGTGGCGTAAGATTGCGTATACGCCATATGTGCCCGCCTGATGCGAATAAGTTGAAGGTAAAATTGTAATGGCGACGACGTAGTTTATAGCATTGAGACTCAGTCGCCGACACACATTGGCTCTGCATCGCTCGCCTCCCTTCAGCAGCCCTCTACAGCCCTATCCAGCCTGCTGCGTGCGACGACCTTCAGGCAATGCCTGTCCATGGGTGCTAACTATGTTGTCAACGGCAATGCCAACAAACGAACATTTACTACTTGTTGTTGGTGTTGGTCTTCTTCTTACCCATACGACTCCACTAACCGAAAAGGCAGCGCACTGCAGGCACAGACAGCTTTTATATATGTGTATGTGTATGTGTAAGTTACAGCTGCAACGCGTGGCGTCTATGAAATTGATAATTAATTATCCGGCCAGCCTGGCAGTTCACATTGCGCCTTGTTTATGCAGCCATACCCAGTCGGCGGGCCAACCTCAATCCCTAGCAGGCAACCCTGGCTTGCAGCTTTTCGCGTATACGCTTCGCTTATTGTGTTTACAAGTGCGTGAAAATTTGCGCTTAACTGCTTATCACGTGCGGCATGCGGCATGCGGCATGTGGCCACTGGCCACACATGGAAAAACAGTGACTGAGGCAGAGAGTACAAGAGCGGCAGAGAGAAAGAGACAAACATCCGCAAAGCTGTGGCATACATATGCACAATGCTAATTTAAGCCGTGTTGAATGCAGCAGGAAAAGTAATGTGCATTTTCGCTTGAATTATGCGGTAATATGGACAGAATCAGAATCATTTCAGAAGTGAGCATCATCATAGTCATCAGAACTGTAGGAAAACTAATTTTTAATTTTATTGAAACTTTAAAGTTTATTCAACATATCGAAGAAGCCTTAACGACCTTATCAAGCTAACGAACTTAAAATATTAAAATGTTTTCTAAGAAGAAGGGAGCATCGCACTCACTAAACTCATTATCTATATATTATTAAATTCGGCTTGCTTAACAAACTCTAACAGTAGTAGTAGTAACAAGGTGCAGAAATCGAGTGAGGCACTGTTGCCCTAATCTAATTGCCGCTATTCTAATTGCTTTCATTAACATATTCACTAGATTCAATATGTCTGTGCCAGCCTTTGGTTACATTGCTTTCCTATTTCAATAATGACGCCCATATAAATACTTAATTATATTGAGAAAATGTGAAATTGATTTCATTTGACGTGCAGCAAAGTGCTTAATTATAGGACTGGCAGGCAGACAGGCCCGATGAGAAGTTGGCAAAGGATTAATGCAGCTAAGAGAAGGCAGCTCAGTGAGATTTAAGTCAAACTTTATTTCTTTGTATTGTATTAGTTAGTTGTTGGCTTGGATATTGTTACCTCTGGCTTTATAGGGGTAGTCAGCCACTGGCTGAGCTGGCAAATCCCTAACAAAGCCAATGCGCTGACCGCATTGAAAGAAAAGCCACTAACAGAATACAAAAAAAAAGTTGAACTAGCCAACTGAGAAAAGGACACGAACCTGATGGCAGACCGGCCCTTCGTGCCCCACCCAATGCAATTACATTAAATCTTAGCTATTATTCTTGTTCTTTTACTTTGTATTTGTGTGTGCACACACAACTTTTGCTGGTGGCTCGGATCGGACTTTGGCCGGCTGTGGTTAATCGCCCACGATGTGATTGAATTCCATCGAACGCAGGTTACGAGCTGTGGGCAAGGGGTGGAAGCTTGGGCCAATCGGGGGAAATGTTGCGGATTCGCGTAATAAATGAAATAGAGTCTCCTTTGCTGCTTGACTTGGCTGCACTCGGCTTCAGCCTGCCCGCTTGCCTGTTTCTGAGAGGCTGACTTGGTTTATGGCCAGCACTGGCCACTGGCCACTAGCCACTTAACTAATTGCGCCTTTGTGTGCGCCTGACACGCGCCATAAAATTAATTTGAATGCTCTTTTCCATTGAGCATAATCAACATGTGCGTGCAACCTGACAATCCCTAAGGTAAACACTGAAATCGCAAGTGCTTACGATCTAGCAGAGATCAGAACTCTTAATTCGAGAAAATGTTGAAAGTTACGTTAGATCAGGGTTGAGGTATTTGAAGTAATACGATGACAAATACTTTTTAAATTTATTTGTAGCTAGAAATGTGCTTTTAAACATACATTAAGTCTGAATTAAGATCAATAATCAAAAAGTCATATTTCTACTCTCTAAAGCCAGCTTTAAATGGCATTTTATAAGTGTATTTAATAATCTAAGCAAATTTATCTTAGTTGGAATGCAAGCAAGAAATTTGCGGTTAGGCAGTTCTACAGCATATTTACCTGTTACTATATAAAAATGATGGTCTGATGTGAGTTAGTTAAGTTAAAAGAGCTCCCAGCAAAATATAAAAATAATGTGCATATCCAACGCAAGTCATAAAACATGTTTTATTTTTTGCTAACTTTGCAGTTCCTTTGTGCGTCATGCACGACACAGCCGGCAAACCGTCCCCTATAACCACGCCCACACAGTCGCCGATGGCGGCGGCGGAGCCCGGAACAGGGCCAGCTGACGATGAGGATGAGACCGATGTGATTGGCGATCTAATGGGTCACTATGGCAAGTGGCAGCTGCTAATGACAGTGCTGCTGTCGCTTTTCCAGGTGCCAAACACCTTTCACATATCCTCGTCCGTCTACCAGGCGGCCAACAAGGAGTTCTGGTGCCAGCGTCCACCACATCTGCAGCAATTGCCCGTCGATGTTTGGCGTAATCTGAGCAGCTCCCACGACAATTGTCATATGCGCGCTGGCATCGATTGGAGCCAGCTGAGCAACGAGACGTTGCCCGCACAGATGGAGGTAAGCAGAGGGTGGCCATGCATGAAATCTCATTTAAATCCACAACCAGCCATGGGTAACTAACGCCTTTATCGCGCCTTGCAGCAACAGGCGGCGTCAGCAGCAGCAGCAGACTCTGCCAACGACGGGAAGCTGATTGCCTGCAACAGCTGGGAGTATGCGACAGACGACAATGTCGGCAACACTTGGACCTCGCAGTGGGATCTGGTGTGTGACAAGGAGCATTTGAAAAATGTAGCCGAGATGTTCTTTCTACTTGGCGTTGCAACAGGTGGCATTATTTCCGGCTACCTCTCTGACAAGTTTGGTCGCAAAACAATGCTCTTCATATCGGCCGTGCTGCAGACCATATTCGGTAAGTGGGCCAGCCACATAACAATTCACCCACAACCCTACACTATCGACAGCAACATCATCATCGCTTTCGTTGGCACATAATTTTCCTGCCGCAGTGACCTTTACTGCCAGCTCTCACACACACACACACACAGACTCAGCGACAGACACACGGAAGTGACATTGGCAATTGCCGCCAGTGTCCCCTTTTGACTTTGAACTTGGCATTGGCAACGGGGTCAACGTTAAGTGGGTGCTGCTGCTGCATCTGCGACATTTGCCTGCTTTGCTGGCCTTGTTGATTAAATCACGTTCAATGTAATTGGAATTTGCATGCAAAAGGACATTCCCAATACGCCATAGGCACGAGTTGGCCAGCAACGTGTAGCCTCACACAGTATTTTGTGCACTTTGCCAATCAATTTTTGAATTGCACATTTTTAAAAGTGTTTTAATTTTAGGACTAGAGGACACTTTGTCAAATTGTTAAAAAATAAATAATTAATTAATTAAAATACAAATAATTTCAATTACATAATTACTAATCTTTTTCCCCATTCATTGTTTTAGGCCTCTGGCTGTATTTCTGCAGTTCCTTTGAACTATACTTAACTCTTCGAGCCCTTTTAGGACTCGTCTCCGTCTCGGTAACCTACTCGGGCCTCATTTTGGCAATCGAATATGTGGATGGCAAGTGGCGGACCATAGCCGGCATGTACAACCTGTTCCCACTGCCAATATCGTATATGATCATCTCTGGACTAGCTTATTTGACGCAAGACTATCAAAGTCTGCAGCTGTGCATCGGTATTCCGGGCATTTTCCTTTGTTTTCTCTGGTAAGGTCAATTAATTTCATCATATTTCTAGCTGGATCAAAGGTAAACAAACGTAGGCGCGTGAAAGGTGTAAATTGCCCATAAAATACCGAGTACACACACACAATAAATAAAATATTATGTGTGCGTCTGTGTATGTGCGGCGCATTGATCATTATATTGGCTGAGCAATAGACGGCAAATAAAGAACAAACTGCGCGTGGGTGTCCCAATTATAAACATCCACATACACACACATATATACGCGACGTCTCGGACTAGACGAGGAGGTGTCTAATTTATGAGTGTGAAACTGAAACTGTCGGGTTTTTCTTTTTGACAGGTTTGTGGTGCCGGAATCACCGCGCTGGCTGCTGGTCAAGGGTCGTATTGAGGAAGTCAGACGCATCATTGAAGCGGCGGCCGTTTTCAATGGACGGCAACTGCCCCCGGACTACCAGCTGACGCCGCCTACGCAGGAGAGTAGCTCACAAGACTTCACGTATCTGTTCCGGTCCAGCTACTTGAGGCGCATCTCCATCTGTTTTCTGTGCATTTGGTTCACCATGAACCTGGTCTACTACGGTATTATCTTGAATATGAGCTCGTTCGGTGGCAATGTCTACTTGAATTCGGTAAGTCGACATCATTTTACATGAGTGCTAAGTGGGAATTTACGCATCGAGGCGCCGCTTGATTTCACTTGATTTAAGCGCATTATGAAAGTCTGCTCCAGCCCCGAAATTTCCTCAGTAACTTACTTAATTCAAATTGTTTCCATCAAACATCAAGTCTCAATTTTCTAGTGACAAGTGCGTTGCGTACACATTTAACATTTAACAAGTGCTAAGTGCCCGCCCAGTCCAGATCTGTCCGCTAATTGGATCTGTCATTCTCTTTACTATGCCTGTGTGTATGTGTGTGTGAGTGTCATGTCAACGTGCCACGTCCAAGGCAGACGCTCGGTCAAAAGGACAGGCAACTGTGTTTACTATCAAATTATGATGTTACTTACAAGAGCTCCAAATAAATGCTGCTTGGGGGTGTTGCTGCTCGTGGTGCACAAATCACCCTCCGGCCCCACCCCCACCCCCATCTCCCCTCTCTCTCTTCCTGCCAAATGTTAAGCATCATGTGCGGAATTTGGCGACGCGCCAATGGCAAATGTTGCATGAAAAAGATTTTTGAGAAACTAAAACAAAACTTTTTAAGCTGTCTGCTGTTGGTGAAATTAATAAATTATAATTTCGAATATTCTATAAAACATAATAAATTTAAATATTTCAAAATTATTTTATACAACACGAAAAAAATTTATATTTCATAATTTTGAGAACAATGAAGATAAAACTTTGTCGAAGGTTGAAAAATTCCAACTTTTATCACTGAGACTAATTACAAGCTGTATAACTTATGATTTATATATTTATATTTCTTTTGAATTTTTAAAGTAATAACCATGATTTTAAAATTAAAAAATGTTTGTTCGAAAGAACTCGCTTCGATATATATTTTTATGTGTCAATATTTTAGTATTCGGAAGTAATATAGAATTTAGCTTATAACAAGCTAAATGAGCATCAGTTTCCACAATACAATATTCAAAGTATTTTTCCCGCAGAAAATTTATTGGATAATTTATTTTGACATGGCATAGCGCACCTTTGATGCCGCTTTGATTTAGTGCGGCCCGCCGACATTTGAGTAGATCTGTTTCTCTGATGTGATGTCTCTGTCTTTCTGTCTGTCTGGGACTTCTCTTGCAGGCGCTAGCTGGCCTAGTCGAAATACCTGCCATTGCGGTGGCCATGTACATTATCACCAAGGTGGGCAAGAAATGGCTCTTTTGTGCCACCCTATTCTGTGCCGGCGCTGCCTGTTGCTGTGCAGCGATCACTGAGGGACGCGAGGACATGCTCTGGCTGAAGATCACATTCCTGATGATGGGCAAGTTTACGATCAGCGCTGGCAATACCATTATGCCCGTTTATACAGCCGAACTGTATCCCACGGCCATTCGCAATGTGGGCGTGGGCGCTTGCAACGTGGCCGCCGGATTGGCGCTCATATTGACGCCATATTTATCGCTTCTGGTATGAATTACATCTGGACACTAACAGCCCACCTTAGGTTCTCAATTTTTGTATTCTCTTTTTTTCGTAGAACAAAATCGAAGGCCACCTGTTGATGACGTTGCTTACCGCTTGGAGCATTTTTGGGGGCTTTGTGGTGCTCTTTCTACCGGAGACGGCAGTGCGAAAAAATGCACCATCCGCAACAAATCGCCAGAATGCAGCTAAGCAGGTGTAATCAGTTACAGAGACGTTGCCAAAATACGCCACCCACGCCCCATACAATACTTCTGGCACCTAAGAAATATTTTGGCTGGTCCAAAGTATGTCAATGAGCACCCAGGATACCAGATAACTACTTAATATCAAGCTGTACCCACTTGAATCGTTGCCCAGCCCCGATTTAACATATCCACCGCCTCAGCCACCGCCACCTTCTACTAACCAAGAACTCAAGTAAATAGCGCAATTTATCGAATGTCCACGGAATGCCATAAGTCTAAAAGTCAGGCAGGACCTTATTTGCGTAGCAAGTAGTGAGTATTTAAAAATGAAATAATATACTGAAAGAACAAAAAAGTTATTCGTAATGTAACAATGGCTTTTAGCTTATAATAGTGTAAGAACAAAAGAACAAAGTCACAATTCGTAGTTAAATCACTTCGGTGTCATCGAAGCTATACAAATTTCACATAAATATACTGCAACAGGAAATGTAATGAGCAATTAACAATTTTTTCATATTTTACAATATTTAAAAGTTACTAAACAGTGTTTATTATTTTTTAAAAATATTAACTTGTTTCATTTCCACCTACTCCCAAACACTTGTCAAGTGTAATCATACAAAATTGGTAAAATAATTCATTTAACTTCATTGATAATATAATGCGTATATCCTGTTAATATTCTTGTGAGACTTTTGTAGGCTAACCAAATAACTAGAAATGAATAAAAAAGCAAGTATTGCTCAATTATTTACTCTATCAGCAACGGAATGAACAGCAAAAATATCTTTAAGTCAAAATATTCTTGTCAATATGTCTTGTCAATATATCAACGTAAACATAATCCCGTTGTTGCTGCTTCTTCGTAGTGCTCGTCTATTACCAAATTAATTCTATATATAAAAATAAACAACAAATTAAAGTAATTATTAAATTGAAGGGAAAATGTTATCTCTGGTAAATGTAGTCAATTATTCGCTTAATAAATATCGGTCAATTATGCATATTACATACATATTAATTAAATATACATATTTATATATATATGTATGTATATGTATTTATGTATATATATATATATGTATAAGTATTTGTATATAAACGTGCATGCATATGGAGAGCAGGCAATGCTGTTGCTGCTTCTTGATTTATCACACACCTCACATGGAAAATATGTTTCTAACGAAATATCATCAACAATAATTTACAAATTTCCCACAATAATGCATTTAAATATATGAATGTGTGTAGTTGAATACAAATAAATAAAATGTGTAAGCAATTGGGCTAGAAAATTAAAAATAAATGTTAGGAATTACAAATTTGTTGCTATATGAAACCGTCAAATGCTTGTTGTACTTACAAACGATATTATAATATTATTGTTCTTAGCTGTAGGCTTTTGTGTTTGCTTATGATTTATTTTATATATTGTACTTACGAGCTAAGTAGAACCTTATATTATGCTTATTTAAAAATGCAATTTGTATATTTAAAAAATAAAATGAAAATATATATATATATATAAATAAAAGGAAAACTCACATATAAATTTAAGATTGAAAACAAATAGAATATGAGAAAGATGAATTTGTAATGTTAAAGTATGGATAATGCAGAATTATCAAGTTACGTTTTTAAATGTTAATGGAAGGAAAGCAAGAATGTATGTAAACTCTTCGATATTCCATCTTGAATCGTCTTTTAAAGCTGATGTTAAATGCTCAATGTGCAACTGGATTTTAGGAAAGAACAAAATAATAATGTTAATTATGACATATACATATATGAATTTGTTGTAAATCAAAATTACCAAAGCAAAGTAAATCAATTAGTGTCAAAAGAAATATGCTTAAAATAATGAATAAATCAATAAATAAAGAAATAAATAATTATGTGGAATCGACTATCGCAAGCAACTTTCAACTCTAGGTCGAAAGCTTTACAACCTACGACAACTTTTGAGTCGTTGACTTAGGCGAAGTTGAGTGCTTAGATTTTTCGCAACTGGCAATGCCGTCACTTAGAGCTTTTGAGCTTTTTGCCATTTATAATAGCTTGGCCGAACTTTTAACGGATTTAGATCGTCGCAAAAAGCAACGCAAACAATCGACAACGCGACTCCGAGCAATACAATTGATCAGAAAAGACAGGAAAAAAATATATAGCATATAGACGGAAATATTTGAAAGAAGTGTTACACTTAGATTGTTTGCATTTTTTGTTTCCTTGACTGAGCTATGAGTGGCGTGCTGCGTCGCGGTTCCTTGAATTTCGATTGCGTTGGCAGCTCACGGGGCAGCCTTGATTCGAACCTTTATGGCGGTTACCGCGAGGCAAAGCCAACACCAGGCACACCGGAAATAAATGTGATTGCAATGGACTTTCGTCGACATTCGGATGATCTGAAGAAGGTCGGCCTCATGGCTATGGCTGCACCAATTGCGAGTCCTGTCAAGGACCTTAGCCAAGATATCGACAGCGATGTTCTATCCAATTTTCTGGGTCATTATCGCAAATGGAGCTTTGTGTGGACCTTTCTGCTGTGCCTATTCCAGTTACCAACCACATTTCATTTGTTTATGTTTGTGTTTCAGGTGAGTTTCAGTTTGTGGATTTGCAAATATTTGCACAGTTGATTGCGTGGCACACTCAAAGCCAAATTCAAACTGTTTACCGTGTTTTGTTGCTTAGTGTTTTGTCTAGCAAAACAGATCGAGGGCAATTATGCCATGTAACAGTTTAAATAATTGGCTTGATTCGGTGACGAAAAGAGAAAGTTTTAGTTTGAAATGACCAATTGATTGATAGAAGTAAATTTCATCTTTATCTTTAGTGCATGATTAGCTAATAAATCAATAAATGTGTGCCGAAAGCTCTTTTAATATATATGACGTAAATTGGTACAATTAAAATACTACTGCCGTATCTTTTCGTGGCAGTAGACCTTTCAATAGCTCGTTATTGAGTCACTGTAACAAGAGCCATAAACAATATAAAATCTGACTCTCAATGTCCACTGGTAGTCTGCTATCTCGATCAAAATAGGAAACATGCGATAGCGTAAAAGTCCGGGCATCATAAGTATGGAGCCCGACACCACTTGACATTGTTCTTGTTATTCGTATTGAGCTGTCACCAATTCGTCGAATTTAAAGCGTCAATGAGAGTGTGAATAATAATACAAATTTCAAATATATGTATGAAATACACACATACATATAATATCTCTAATTTGCCAATATTTCAGGCCTGGCAGGCATTATCGAAGTCGCGTGTGCGGCAAACTCCACTCATGAGCAACCTTAGAGCAATTTGCATTGGCAGCGTTTATATATCTCATACGCACCCAACGAGCTCCTCAAGTTTGCAATCTGCCATCAGTTGTCACAGCGAATATCTGTCAGTTACTTAGATTGATTGCGTGCAACTCAGCTGCGGACACCGATTTAAGCACTTCGATTGTTTGAATCAGCGCTTGATAATTACGATAATCGAATTGCGTGCTAATGTGCATTTGAAAAGGTAACCAAGAAATACAAAAGAAAAAAAGCAAACCACAGTGTACCTTGACATATACGACTTATGATACAGCTTAGTAAATACGAAAGAATATTGCAGCATCAAGACTTCAAGAACTTAAGATATACCTTAGTACGGCTACTAGCCACTCGATAATTTCATGTTCGTAACCCCAAATTAAGGGGCCATTCTTATATGCACGGAAATAATATTGGCTAACTAGCGACTAGCTAGTATAAACTTAGCTCGACTAATCGGTTGATCGGTTGCACATGATGCAAGAATATGAAATTTGCAATCATGAAATAATATATATATATATATATATATATATATATATATATATATACTAAAGTTATATATATATACTAAAAGTTGGGAAACTATTATGTACGTTACATAATTGTAAGTTAAATTAGACACAACAAATTATAAAGCCGAAAAGGCAATACCACAATGAATTATATTTTTTTCACATTAGAACATCGGTTATGTCAAGGACTTTTAAAACTGCTCGACTTTATATTTGAACTCAATTTTGGGTTGGGCAGCATTGTTACGAAAGTTACTTAACCCTGTCCATCTTGAATGCTGCTAAAATTTCAAATTTAAATCTGATCAAATATAAAATTTAGTCAAGTGTTAAGCTGAGCTGACACAGCTTCAACTCAAAGTGAAAACGTGAATTAAAAATAAAGTTTTCAAATAATCTCTCTCTTTTCTTCAGCCTCTCTTTTTGTGTAAAGGGGCTCCGAGATCGTTGACTGGAGAGCTTAATTAATTCAACGCTCAACTGGGTTAATTTAATTTATGATAAAGTTTGAACACATCAGTTAAGCGCAGCTCTTTTGAGCGTCATTCCAGCTTGTTAAACTTTATCTGAATACCCCTTTGAAAATCTTGTCTGGCGGCGCACCTGTACAGCAGTGACTTCCACTTCGGTCTCAACACCTGCCTGTCTAACGACTCAGTTGTAAGAGTAAAGTGCGCGCTAGTGGTCCACTTTATGGCCGAATCTCTCAGCAATCTCACATGTAAATCATTAGATACGCATAAAACTCAAACTTTGCATATGCTTATGGGCTCATTTGCTACTGTGTTTGCTGTTTATTTACTCTAAATATATATGTTCGCAAACATTCTAAATCAGTATATTTGCGTCGCAAGTCGCAATCGGTTGACTCTTTTCTCGAATCCGATTCAAATCGAGCACTTACAGTATGGCAGCGGTTGAAAGAAATACGGCGGGCGAATTGTCGCCCATGCTGCTAACCACGCCCATTGCCAGCGACGAACAGTTGGAAGTACTCCAAATGAAGACGTTGCAACGGCTGTTGGGTTCGGTGAGCCGCTGGCAGTGCATGTGGTGCGCACTGCTATCGATCCATCAGGCCATTTGTACGTTCCACATATTCGTCTATGTGTTTCAGGTGAGTGATCCCCAGAGCCAAGACCTTACATTGGTCATATAAATTACTCAACTGCAGTCGCAGTCGCAGTTCAGTCGCACTCGCAGTCGCAGTTAGCGTCGTTTCACTTCAACGCCTCAATAGAGACACGAACAAGCCCCAACAAGTTCTAAACTGCGTTGATGTTCTGCGAGCAATCATAAAAACTTTAATCATGATATTCTGTTTGAGTTGCTTCGTGTCTTCCGATAGTAAAAACTCGTAAAATTGATAAGAGTTGTCTCTTTATAGTAAATGAAAAGTTGTTGCAAAACTGTTTAAACCACTTTTTGGGTAAACAAAAATTGTATACAGCTCTTATACTTAATTAGCGACTTAGCGAAATATAATCTAAAACGCATTTCAATAGACATATTATGATCATTCCATTTGTTATTCATCTCTTAATAAAAAAACACGTTTGCCTGAATACTCCACAAGCTCCAACAAATTCATTCAAGTCTGGTTAGACCAGCTGGCTCATTTGAACTGAGCTGAACTGGCAGAGTTCTTAAGGCCTGATATTTAACATATATTGATAACTAACTCACTTTGCCAGATTTGCCCATATTTTAGGCATCATAAACTTGCCTTTGAATTGTTGCGACTGCAAAAGCTTTTAATTAATTTCCACACCCACTGATCTATATCGGGTGCTGGCTAGAGGCTGCGCTAACCAAGGTTAACTTCGAAAGGTTACTCTCGTGCCTCGAGCCAATAGCGACCGCTAAAAGTGTCTAAATATATTAATTAACCAACAATAATAAAAATAAGCAAATATTTCTGGGCCAGTCTGTCTGCCAACTATGTGAGATAGGTATTTTGCTAGATAGGCACACTGGTTGCACTTCTCTTGGGAAATTTACACTTATATAAATGCCAACTATACTCAAGTATTTATGAATATAATGATCTATAAGTATATACTGCTGCAGTAGGTTAGTTATCATACAATGACCCTACACTATTAATAATAGGCTATCAAGTTGATTAAAGCAACAGGTTTGTATTGGGATATGATTGGGGATTTTAGCCATTCGCACTTGCCGCACTTGCACTTCTGCTTTAAAAATATGAATTGTCTATTTTAGCAAACTTATCCACATCAAAATCCGCGTATTCTAATAGGAAATTCAATTGTGTCTCCGTTTAACAAATTGATTTCTCAAAACAAACATTTATTTACATTTTAAGATGAGTCAAGATACGTTCAATAGATCAAATAAAATCCCTGAAAAATAGAGTTCCTTTGACTTTTGGAAACGTTAATTAAATGACTCTTCACACTCTTCGTTTGGCAATTGATAAGTAAAGGCATTGTCCATTGGAATTTCACTTCTAATTGAAACCAATTAATTGTTTATTTCTAACAAAGGCTTAAAACAGTTAAGTAAGCTCAAATCCAGCATTGTGTGACTTCTGACCAGTGTACTCGATGCCGTCATTACAATAAATTGCAATCAGGTGGAAAATAAAAAAAAAACAAATATTAAATAAGACAAATAAAGCAAACAGGCAACACACATTCGCAGACAACAATCGGCTTTAGCTCGTGCAAATGTATCTGCAAACCCATTCATCAAAACGACACAACTTATAAGCGGTGGTGCAGTGGGGTGGTTGGTTTGGCGGTTGCAGCCTAGTGGAGATCATGCGGCTATACCCACGCTATAAAATTCCATCGTTGGTTCTCTATGCAAATGCCTGAAACGTGACAAGTATGTGCCGCAGCACTCCAAACCTCAAACAAGCGGACACACGGACACACAGTTTATGGCGTGAGAGCACGGCATAGACAGATAGATAACAGTCATGTTATATGTCCACATATGTATCTCGTTAATCAAGGAACAAGACTCGCCGTCGGTTCGAAGAACATTAACTTTTACTTGTGCTCTCATTAAATCAACTAATTCACTTTCCACGTGCGTCGCTATTGGGGTTGTTGCTGTTGTGGTTAATGTTTATGCGAACTTCAACTTGAACTTGAAACCATTTGCTCACATACAACAATAACAACGTTTAATGGAAGCACGTACGAAACGGAGTCGAATCAACCTGTTGAACAGCCGAATAGCGTATACGCCCCATGCGCCACAGCTCAAGTCAGAGCACTCAATTCCGGTGAATAACCTCCCATCTACCCCTGTTTCCCTGCTCTCCCATGCCGTGTTATTGATGTCTGCCTGCTGAACATTGAAGGCACCAAATCAACATCAATCAGCCTTGCTGACGATCCCAACCACCCAGGCAGCCGAATGTTTTCCAATTTCCCGTCTGCTATAACAGCCATGTCCACTACTCATGAGGAGTCATTGGCCTGCATTTTATTATTTTACATGCAATCGCTTTTTCCTACTGCCTACATCAACTTTGCCATTGACCAGCGCGAAACACAAATGCATGCAGCGATAATTAATCAGTTTCCAAGTGCCATCATAAACGCCACTCGCTATTAGCTAATTACATAGCCCCACATCGACTTATCGACTGAATACAAAACAAAAGTATATATATATATATATATATATATATTATATATATTCATATATATATATATGTATAATACGAAGCAGCCATTGTTGAGGCAATTTAATTTTGTTATCGTTAGACAACGAAAACTTGTTTGTGTTTTCGAAATTTTTTGGTTGCAATAAATATCTTTAATTGTTTTTTAATCAAATAACTTATTTAATATTCTAAGCAAACTCATATCTTATGCTTACCAACTATAGCTGAAATAGATATTTAAGCACAGAAAATGTGGATTCTTTGGGGCACAGCTTAGCCTTAAAAAATTAATTATATATATTTGTTGTTATTCTCCTTGAATATCCCTTTTGTTATTTATTTGGTACTATAGAAGACAAACAATTATGTATGTATTTTTAATAGCAAAGAACTCACAACTTGTTTAAAATTACCGAGCACTACAATGTAGCTCACATGTTCAAAATGCTTCATAACTTTCACTAGAAAACTCAATTATTTTAAAATGATTAAAACTAATTAGAGAAAAACTATTATTAAACTCTAAAGGTTTCCTATGTTAAAATTTATTTATCAATCAATTAGTTGCAAGCCCATCAAAAATGCTTTACCGGAAACAAATAACTACACTGCACTACAGTGATTTGATTACTTAAATAAAGTAATATATATTCTAAAGAGGATATTTTTAGGAACTGCCTGGAGTAAATTGAGGTACAAGCTTTAAGGATCGTTAAAAATACGCTTCAATTCGTATTTAAAAATAATCTATAACATTTATTATAATTTATATTTGTTGTCAAAAGGCTTATAGATAATATATAATATATATATATTATATATATAATAATATAATATATATATATATATATATATATATATATATATATATATATATATATATATATATATATATATATATATATATATGTATATATATATATATATATATTAAAGTTATCTAAGCAAACGTATTATAAATGAAACTGATGACTTTACTCTACTTAGAGCTTAGAGTATCTTCTAGTAGACTATTTTCAATTGAGAAAAAAATAAGAAATTTTTTTAAAAATTAATTCAGTGATTGAAAATAAATAAAAAAAACAAAACTTTTTCGTTTTTGAATGCATAATGTAATGTTAATTTTATAAAGGCCAATCTCGACGACAAACAAACCAAATGAAACCCGTTTATAGTTTTATTAAAAACCTAACGATTTTTTAATTTAATTAATTACCATTTAAAGTTTATGCTTGATTTATTATTATTGAAAAGTGAGCAAAAAACATAGAAAGCTTTTAAACCTTCTAATTCGGTTAATTTATTTTCATGTTGCAGACCGCGCCAAAGGATTATTGGTGCGCCAGACCAGCAAATCTTCAAAGCCTTAGCGTTACGGAATGGCGAAATCTCAGTCAGACGCCCAATGGCTGTCAACTCCTTGACATTGACTATAGTCAGGTAATCTTGGACAATGGACAGCTGCTCAATTGGCCCAGCAATACCTCCGATATAGGCTACAGGCAGTGTCAGCAATTCGAGTTCTCCGATATCGATGGCGATGCCAAGACTGTGGTGGAGGACTTCAGCTTAGTTTGTGGCAACAACATTACAAATTATGTGGAAATGTGTTTTCTGATGGGCGCGGCAGCTGGAGCCGTGCTGTCGGGTTGGATCTCGGACCGTTTTGGTCGGCGACACACATTGATGAGCTTTGTTTTAATACAAACCATTTTCGGTAAGTTCAATAAATAGTTGATAGAACAATCAGCGAGCAAATTGCATGTGTGGCTCCTGCCATGGCCTTTATATTCTAATTGTCATTTAGATGAAACTTTTCTGACCATGTGTGAGTGTGGGTGGTTGTAGGGTGTGGTAAGGGTCGACCACATGCATTTGCATTGTCCACAGCAGAGATTTTAATTGACTTTGCACTCTTATTTACGTGCCTGGCCTTGCACCTGACATTCCCACCTGACACTCTCTTTCCCACTCTCACTCTATATTTCACCTATTCTCACTATGTTTCTATCCCATTGTGGCACAGGTGGTATTTTGGCCTTCTCGACATCGGTGGCCATGTTCATGTCGCTACGTGTTATAATTGGATTCGCATCAATGACCGTGACTGTTGTAAGCTTCGTGTTAGTCGTCGAGCTGGTCTCCGGCAAATGGCGGACAATAATCGGCATATTAAACATTTTACCAGTGGCCATCTCCTATGTCCTGTCATCTGGCATTGCCTATCTCATCCGAGACTGGCGTACACTGCAGCTGGTCATATCCTGGCCATGGCTAGCCTTGCTCTCCATTTGGTAAGTAGATACAATGATATTCTTGTTCAAGCGCTGTTCGGACAAGTATTGTAACTTCAACTAAGTAGCGAGGAAGTTAGCTAAATTTAACAAGATTGATACTTATTTAGTTTATAAAATCCGCAGTAGTTACATGTTTTGTTCGTAATATATTTGACTTAAGATTTTTGGAATATTGATTACAGATTTATAGTTATATATACAAACGTATTTTTTAAAGAAAAGCATTTGCTTACCTAATTTAATTTTTTTCTTGTCATATTTAATTCGTACATAGACACTCGTAATCTGAAAATCAATTAACTAAACACAATACAGTTTTTTTACAAAAAAATATATAAATCATATGAATGCATTGTGTTAATTACATTGTTCGCGGCTCTGCTCAATTGTTAAATGAGTAATTAGTAAATCTTACTTACATCTTAAACGTTTCAATCTCAACTCAAAAATGTGCTTACAGCCTGCAAGATTTACGATTAAGCTTAATGTATACATGTGTGTGCCGAGATAATATAATTCTGGGTACTAAATGAAATATTTGTTTTTAATTTTTTATAGCGTGCTAAGCACTTTTTTTTTGAAAATTCTTGCATATTTATTTTGTTTCTAAGTGTCAAAATCATTTCTTCTTTATCTTTGAGCTGTTAGTCTATTAATAAATATTTAAAACATCGCAATTAACTTTATAACGCAATTTCAAAAGAATTAAATTAATCTACAAACCTTTTTTTAGGCACCATTCGGCTTCACATGCTAAATCTGATATTGAAATTGTTATAGAAATATGAAGAAATTATCAAGAAATTTAATAATAGCCATCGAAGCTACTTGACTGCTATGCACAATGCGTATTTGAGTAGCCCATGCTGTACCTATCTGCGATCTAGCCAAAATAGATTGTCTTTTTTTATTGAAGTTACCAAATAAATAATAATAAATATTCTAAGCGTTAGATTGGTCAGGCATACATATCTCTTACTACCTGTGGACACTGCATTATACAATATAATTAGTTTTCATATTTTTCTAGCTTCCACGTTATATAACTATTTATAAAATGAATTTAATCGAAATTTCAAAGCTTAATTCATGTAACTAATATTGTGAAGAAAACAATAAAAGAATATATGAATTTATAAATTGGAAATTCCAAAGCTAACATGGCTTACAGTTATGTATATAATTACTTTTGTGAATTAAAATGTCATGTTATTTTTATAATGGCATGTGCCTAATTTAAAGTCGTACACAAATATTTAAATTATCTTAGGCTCATAATTACGAGGGAAACAAATTGTTAGCAACCTGTTTGACCTACCTACGTGTCGCACGCGTTAATAATATAGAAATCAGGCATTAAAGCTTTGGGTATATGTATGTAACAGATAGAACCACATCCAATATATTCCTGATAAGAACGGTTAAATTAGTGCGTCTTCAAAATAACTTGTAGTAAAATTAAAAATAAATAAAAGAAATATTATTAGTATTATTGATTAGAAGATAAGATACAAATTTTTTCATTTCATATTCTATATTTAATATATAATATACATTCATATTTAATAAGTAATATTTGAGTTTGAGTGTTTTTTAATGTACGTAAAACGATCACCTACCCACCTACCTACTTATCTGGGTTCAGGATATCTCCTAGTCGTCTAATTCCGTCTAGAGCACTCTGCCCAGTTTTTGTGCTGCAGTTTGTATTCGTTAAATTTATCGGTTTCGGTTTGAGCTTTCAGAATTATTTACGAGTATGTGACTTGAAACCGCATTTAGTGCGTTTTACTTAACGCAAAAAAAAAACAGCAACAGCAAAAGCAAAACCAAAAGCAAAAAGTTTTAGGTAACCATTTTATTGTCATTTTCACGTTCGCATTTGACATCAAAGTGAAAATAAAATGTGTAGCAAATTCCTGGCAGCCAGTGAGCAACGATTGACAGCATTTTGTTGCGTGGGATCAATTAGATTTCGAACGGACAAAGGCAACGTTCCACACATTCCACAGTGTTTATCCCAGCTACTCAGGACGAATCGTTCAGATTAGCCGCATTTGTAGTGGCTAAGCATTGCCATTGTGTGACTTACTCGAATTCGAAAGAAAATGAAAAATTCCAAGTGTCGTTGGTCAAGCAATAAATACAAAGAGATGGCATTGATTCTCTATTTTTTTCAACAGGTACTGGCTGCCGGAGTCTCCACGCTGGCTTCTGGCACAGGGTCGCCTAGAGGAACTTAGTTGTTTGATTGAGGGCGCAGCCAAGATGAACGGCACCACACTGCCCAACAACTATCAAAAAATGCTAGAAGCCGCCGTCCCTATGGCCATGCAGCATCAGGACTCAGCCCAGGCAGAAGCTGTCAACACAGCCATTGAGGAGAGCAAGACGCCATCGGATTTACATCATTTGGGTGTGCATGTAAATCCGGTGTTTGTTGTCTTTAGCAGCAAGTACTGGCGCACCACCATGCTCACTCTGATAATTTGGTTCACCCTAATCATAATCTATTTTGGCCTGACTCTGCATCTAAGCAACTTGGGCGGCAATGTCTACATAAACAGCGCAGTAGCCGGCAGTGTTGAGTCCATTTCCATATGCATCAGCATTTTCATAGTGATGAAAGCCGGCATCAGGCGCAGCCTGCTAGGCTACATGTTGCTGCCTGGCCTCTGCTGTCTGGCCACCAATTTGGTGCCCCAGGGCGACCATAACCAGGCAGGCGTCATTGCTCTAGCCACCGTAGGTGAGTGTCCGATAAAAGCTAACACATATAGTTGTATTTGTATTTATTTGTAACCCGAACTCCCTTCCAGCCAAGTGTTTAATAGGCGCCAATAATGCCATTATACCCACTTACACAGCGATGCAGTATCCGACTATTGTTCGTAACTTTGGCGTGGGAATGGGGAATTTGGCATCAGGCATTGCGCTCATTCTGGTTCCCTCATTGTGGCAGTTGGTAAGTTGTTAAAGTAGAACTATTCTTACCCTAATAATAAACATATTATTATTTATTTTCTTTTTTGTGGAATAGGAGCACTACGACGCTCTGCTTCCTTTGAATATAATGGGAGTTTGTGGATTGATTGGCGCTGTTGCTATAATTTTGATGAAGGACGTTGAATAGTTTTTATCTCTTCGTATATATATTTATTTTATGTACATTTCTAACTGTGATATATTGGAAATATCGGTCAATGGGCCAACACAAAATCATTCTTCTCAGCCTTCGTCTATCATTCTTTGTTTTCTAATACATATATATATTTATATTTCATTTGAACTTTCAATATAACTTTTATAGACTTTTTTAAATATATATGTTTATTGATAATGTGTCTGTAAGCCCTGATACTTTTCGTGATACTGTGTAAGTTATAACTACTTTTGTCAATCAAAAATGTCTTCATCAGCATCATCAAGTTATCTATGTCTGTCTGTCCACCTACATTTTGTTATGATTCTTTTGGTTTTTGCTTAAGCTTATGTAAATAATTTAAGATAAAATAGATGGATAAACTAAAAAACAATAATATTTAGTATATTATCGAATGGTGAACAGTTTTTCTCAATATGAAAAGTTTTTCTCAATCATTTTATTTAGATTAAATTTTAGTTTCAATTTATACATCTATGTTTTTTTAAATAAAGATAAATCAAATAACTACCAATTCATGTCTCGTGTGAATGATATACTTTATGTTCTTCGCTATTTAGCCAATACAACAACCAAATTTTTCATGTGCTTAAAGCTCAACTTGTGCCTTGTGTTTTAATATCGTAACGCTTTTAAAAGCTGCCGAAGCTCAATGTGCAGAGTTGCCATATTTTTGTATTTTGGGCTGAGCGTCGCGGTAAAAGTAGTTTAAAAATTGAAGCACGTTCCCGGTGCACACATACAATTCTCAACACAGACAATATATATCTTTGAACCTTCGCAAATTTGCAAACATCATTGCGTTCACTTTCATTTCAAGATGCGTTAACGGCTTTAACTGTTTAAACGTTCACATGGCAGCCGCAACACGCCTCACATAAATTTCCAGGTGTGTGTGCTGGACATGAGAGACGAAAAGCTGCGACGTGGCTATAAAACCGACTCAGCAACTCGGGCGCCCAGCATTTTAACGTTTATCGGCACACCAAAAGTATCTACCTAAGCGACGACAGTCTCAAATATATAAAACAGTTTAAGTTTTTCTATATCAGAAGTCAGATTGGAGCATTGCGGAAGTGTTACACAAACGACCACGAAATGAAGTTGCAACTAGTCGCGGTAAGTTTGAAAAAGATCAAGCTGCACACGAAGTGAACAATTTAATATAAATATACTATTTGAAAGACTCACTCACTTACTTAAAGCTGCAATTGCATGCGTGCATGAGAGCAGCCAAGGTCGTTTGGTTTGCAGCTTAAGATCTCGATCTCGATCTCCATCTCTGAGCACCGATTTAGACATTGGCGTTGTTTATTTGCATTTAATAGAAAGTCAATGAGTGAACTTGTAGCTCAATGCAATGCAATTAGCAATTAAATATGACCAATTGACATTTCGTTTGCCGATCATAAAAAGTCAAACAGCAAACGCAACACAATTCCCAGATATCATAAATATGCGATTCAATCATTAACAATCGTCTGTCTTTATGGGTACCAAAGAATTTCAATTGAAAAATTGGTTAACCAAGCCCTCGGGTCACAGATTTAACGAGTTTTTTTCGGCTTTGTCTCCGCCCCACTGAATGTTGGCAATGTGCCAGCAATTTTAAAAGCAAACCAATATTGCTGAGCACTTGGCATTATCTGTGCAACTAGCTCTGAGCCAGCTAAAATAAAAGCTTAATAATAAATTTTCATTGGATTATAAATAAATATTACCATGAAACCAGTTGAGGAAACAAGGATAACAAATATTTGTATAAGTTCTTACTTTCTTTTACTAGATCAATCTGTTCTGATTTGCAAACCTTTGAAAATACAAAATTAAGAATAAGATTTGAAAGTCTTAAAATATTTTTAAAAATTTGTATAAACATTTGTTTCGTTTTTAACAAATAACACAACTCGATGCATGTAAATACTACCCAATATTTCATTCAAAAAGCACATAGATTGAGAAACCTTTTTGAAGCCATAAATAACCATTTCTAATAGGATTTTAATGTTACTGATTGATTGCTTGATTTGTGGGGCTTGTCCGAAAATTTGCCATAGCTTTGGGCTAATGAGTTTTCAAATTAAAAAACAGCTTAATAATAGTAAAAATCAGTGCAATATCTGGCGGCGAATTGTTTGGTCACTTTAAGAGCTGTTTTATATGAATCAACAGAAAATTGGTCACGACATGTTTTATGATGGCTTGGCTTATGTGTCTCAAGGTCGTTTTGCCCCGGCTCAATTGCATTGGCTGAGTCCACGAGCCACTGACCAAGTTATTTGAGATTCAACACAACGCACTCAGGTCTCTACACACATCAGCTGCACACTCATAATGCAAATTCTCAGCACGCACACACACACACATACACACACACACATAGTTGCAGATGCAGTTACTCCAACACAACTTGAATTGCTTTACAGATAGTCTGCTCCATAACGCAATTGGGCGTAGTGGGTTACGTAATGCATGAGTACGCTGCACACTCATAGTAACTTATATATGCATATACATACACACACACATATATATATAAATATATATATATATATGTAGATATGTGTATAAACATAAATAAAGCGTTACATATCTGAGCTCTGAAAGTGCACTGACAACTATTTCCAGTCAAGAGATACGTTCAAGAAATCTCTGTTGAGTGCAATAAAGTTTTTCGGGTTTTCGTTCCCTTTCGGTCAACAACCCGTCTAGCTAGCATCAAGGCCAAAAGTCCTTGGCCAGGTTATTGTTGCTAATGAGCCATCATCAAAACAACATAGTCTTCCTCAGTCATCGCACTTCAATAAGAGCGCAGACGACGCCCACCTGGCTTCAGCTAGGGTTTGGCTTAAAATTACAAAAGAAATAAAAACAAAAAATATTTTGTGTTCGGTTTCCTTGAACCACGCCGTTAAGGTGCAGCCATAAAAACTAATTAAATTAAATCAAGTTCCCAAACAGCAAAAAATATTCGCATAGTTGCAAGTGTTTGTAAAAGCATGAAAAGCAAGCCCGATTTTCTATCTGTCTCTGCCCCTCTCTCTCTCTCTCTTTATATTGGTTTTTATTTTAACGGCTTGCCAAATAGTTCACTTGACCAGGTAGAGTTGGGCAGCCAGCCAAGCTATAGTTGGCCACTGGAATGCTTGGCTTGAATGCTCACAGCACAAAGCAAAGGAACACCTCCCCCGGCCAAGACAGCAATGAAAATACACCTAAGCAAAACAAAATAAGACAAAAAAAGTAATCTCTTATTTATACAGCAATATTTGTGGCGTGAATGCATAATACAAATTTGCATAAGCGGGAGTCGCCAGGTATTTAATTGAGTAGCAGCACATAAATATACTACCTATACCTGAATGAAAGAACATCATTTGCCACTTGAACATTTTGTATCCTCACGAAAATGAAATGGTTGTCAGTAATGTAGATAAAAACTTCATTTAAAAACAAAACTGAAATTGATTAAAATGAAAAAGTTTTTACGTTTTTTTGTATACTTAGCAGAGAGGACTTAATTGATGAAAATAGCTTATTTAGTTGGGAAATTTATATTATATATATAAAATATTCTTGGAAGATATTTGATGCACGCAATTATATTGTATAGATAATTTGGACATATGTACATAAATGTATATGTATGTGTATATAGTATTACTTCAATTTAAATATTTACTTCAAATCTTCAATGTAATTCCTCTCAAATGAATTAAGCGACTTTAATAACAAGTTAGCCTAAAGCAAACCGGTTTTAAGAGGCCGCGTTACCGATTTCATTCAAAGTCAAATAATAATAAATTAGAAACTACAGGTAAAAGAACTTATGTTTTATCCATGCTTTATAAATACTTTGATACGAAAACTTCTAATGGCTTTGTGTCTAACCACGGCATAGAAATGTGGCATAGAAATTCCAATCGAAAGCAAAAGTGCTGCTGCTGCAGCTGCTGCCGGTTTTGCAAGCCTGGGGCGCTGACCATAGCCCGTGTCACTGATCTCGATCGCAATTAAAGCGTCACCTAATTAAAAATGAACTCAAAGCATTGATTCGGCAGCTGGTATTTTGGAAAGTGCGACTTCCATTGGCTTGGCGGTCACTTGTCCTAGACACTGACTTCTTTTCGTGTTTCTGTGAACCGGAAACTCGAAGTGCTTGTGCTCAAATGGTTTCCACATGCCACGGAAAAATTCGCATAACTAACTCAACGGAGTTTTTTCTTTTGCCAGTTTGTGCCACTTTAGGCTGCCGCCAACTGCTGAGGCATGCAAATTACGCAATCCGGCCCGAGACGGCGATAACAACAACAACAGCAACCGATATTTGCTGTTGTTGTTGTTGTTGGCGGCGGTGGTTGGTGGTGCTGGTGATGGTGGTTGTTGTTATGATCGATCGAACCAGCGAGGCGGGCGAGCAATTTCTGTGATTTGCTTTATGTTCCACATTTATTGCTATTGCAGTTACCTGCTCCTGTTGTTGTTGCTATTGCTGTTGCCGCCACAGCGCTACAATTACGAATTGTTGTTGTAACACTTAAGCGGCATATAAATTTAAACCAGTTTGTTTATGGCGACAGCAGCTTAAGAAGTACACGAAAAGCACAAAGTCAAATTTTACACGTCGTACATTTGTGGAACGCATGTGGAACACACGCTTCATAAAAAACAACCGTTGCTAATTAAGTACGCACAGCTAATTATAAGTGTGTCCAAAAGAGATGAAAAGTTGGCCACGCGAGGTTAAGCAACCGCAACAGTTGCAACATTGCCACGCCTTTTATAGCCCTGCATTAATAGCACTAATAAACTCCCTCGATTTGCAGCTGTTGTGCAGCGTCGTTGTCTTGGCACAAGCCCAAAACTATCCGCCAAGGCTAAGCATTCCGGGTGCAATCGCCTTGCCAGCGCCGGTACCTCAGCGTCAGCAGGTGCTGCGTGTACGTCGTCCTGGAACAACGCTGCGTCAGCAGCAGCAGCAGCAGCAGCAGCAGCTGCACTTGCCAGCTGTCACGCAGCGCATTACACTGGAGGAGCGACCAGTTACCGAGCCCGCTGAGGATGAGCAGCCAGATGCATTCCTGCCCAGTCTGCTGCGTGAACAGCAATTAGCTCAGGCGCAACAATCACAATTCCAGCAGGCAGCCGCAGCTTTTCTGAATGGCCAGCAGCCCGTTGAGACGGCCACACCTGTGCAGCAGCTGCTCCAGCATGAGGACAGCCAGCCGACAGCAATATTGCCAGCACCACGTTTCTCAGAGCGTCCCGCGGCAGCCACGCCCATCAACCGGCCATCCTTTAATGACTTTGGCATCGGACGCTTCGAAAACGCTCAGCGTTTCGATCTTTCGCGCCCAACTCCTACAGCTGCCGCTGCACCACCTCAGCCACAACGTGTCGCCGTCATACGCACGAGACCCTCAGCTGCCGTGCGTCCCGAGCCACCAGCACCTGCGCCCGTGCAGCGTCCCAGACCCAAGCCCATTCAATCTCGTCCTATCATCGATCAGAATCAGCTCCAGGACGAACAGCACACGCAGCAACAGCAGCAGCGCCGACAACGTCCCGTCGCCCAAACCATACGCAAATGGCGCGATGAGAACGAGGATGGATCCATAACATGGGGCTATGAGAACGACGATGGCTCATTTAAGGAGGAGCTCATTGGCACCGATTGCGTAACCAAGTGAGTGAATACGTTGAAAATAATGAATTCCTTTATATATGTGTCTAATGCAGGGGCACCTATGGCTACATTGATCCCGATGGCAACAAGCGCGAGTACAACTATGAGACGGGAATCAAATGCGATCCCAATGCGCGCAACAATGAGGAGGATCTGCAAGAAAACGGATTCATCAATTATGAGGAAAACCGTGCTGTGTTGCCCAACGGCCTGGAGATTGACATGGCGCAGCTGGGAAAGAAGAAGTCCAAGCGTCCCAACAGTATCTACAGAAACTAACCACACACACATCCAAACTCCAATTAGCTGTTTAAGTCTAAGAGTTCTTAAGTCGTCGCCTTAATTGTACTAATCTGTAATTACGTCTGTACTTTATTATTATTGTGTGTAAAGTTTAGAGTGAGAAATTATATGAATAGCCTGTAAAATTTGGTCACTCAGTACGGGCGCTGACGTCGCGTAGGTGGCATGCGATTTGGGGGCGTTATGGATATATCCAGGAAGTCACCAATACTGAACTTTGCCTGAGCAAGCGTCTTATTGTCATCGATTCCCTTCTGACCTGTACAGGTGACTCCAATTTCGCGCATTTGAAAGTGATTGTTGCGATAATTGGGGAACACTATAGCAAAGTCAAAGTAAGTGCCTTTTTTCCGAGTATCAGGATTCACGTCACGCACCAGCGAGGTGAGCTCGTGCAGCGTTGCATCCTGCCAGGTGTAGATTTGCAGTTCGTTGGTTGGCACATTGCCGTACATGTACTCGGAGACAGAATGATGCCGTCCCGTGGAACAGAATACGCGCAGCAGCAGAGGGCAGGTCTGCAATGGCAGCAAGAAGAGGAAGCATATTAATCAAAATAGCGGCCGGCATTCGTATGCCCAATTATAGCAAACACAAACCTTCTCTCGATCGATTTGCTTGATCTGCGTCTTTTCTTCCACAATCATCGACTCAACATTGGCCATGTTGTCCTATTTTATTGTTATTTTAATTGAGTTATTTTTAAACAATACAGAAAACAAATATAAATTGTATGCACCACCAAATAATAACAACTAGTGGTGAGTTATTGTATGTAACTGCAGCGAAGTAACGGTTACGTGACACATCACTAAGTATTCTATATAAAAGTAAATATTTATTTTTGCACACATTTAGATTTTCTCATCGGTGGCAATTTAAAAATCCAGTAGAAAACTAATAAATAATCAATATAATTTTTATTATTTGTTTCAAAAAGTTAATGATGATTTAGCTCTTCGCTAGCATGACATGAAGTTGGCTTCACTGTATCAGCTGTGTTAAGTTCAGTGGTATAAACTAAATTGGTATTTTTGAAAAAGTAGTACCATATATTTCGTGCTTTATTAGTACATTTCAGCATCAAGGCGGCTACACTAAATAAAACAAAAATATTATTGAAGTGAAAATTGTGGACAACGGTTGTGTCGCGTCGTGACTCGTAAAATCGACATTTTGTTGAGCAGATTGCCAAAAAGCTAAGCAATTTAGCTGTTGCAAATTATACACTGGATAAACTCGGCTATAATCTCCGTTAGAACTAGCATTAAAAACATTGATAACTGTGGCGTGTCGTTCGCAAAGTTTGCTGTGCATAAGCTAAAAGAAGATAATAACAACATTTGTCGGCGTTTTTGGCGTCTTATTTTCTTAGCAAACGGTAAGTCAATTGTGTTTTTCAAATGCTGACAATTAAATTTAGCGAGAATCGCAATTACAGTTTGCTTATGTAATGCGATTGCTATAGTTAAATGCGGCAGCTAAAGATGCAAGTTTATTATGTAGAGACATGTATGTGTGTGTGTGCATAAATGTGTATACATATATGTGTGTTTTGCTTTTGCTTTCGCTTTTGTTTGCGCACGTTTTGTTTATAAACATTGAATTGGTCGACCGTTGCGCTACTGCTGCAAATTCAATTTATTCGCATTACAGCATACACAGAATCTCAACACTACAACGTAATTAAAACCAAAGGAGCCTGCCCCTTTGGTATATATTTGCTATGTGCCACTTACCACTTGCCACGAATTCTCGCCCCTATTAAAACTGGCACAATTCGAAGGGCAAAGGAAATTTGTTGTGACGCTTCTGATAAATTGCGCGTTTTTGTAAGCGATTTGTGTGTAGCAGCAACTAACTACACTGCACTACAAAGATTATAATTTTTTTGGCTTAACTAACTCTAGGTTATAAGATCATTCGAATTGGCCGATTGTATATTTTGAGTGGTTGTTCGAAATTGATTAGATTTTACATATATTGAAGTCGTACACCATTATTGAATTATAAGTATTTATTATTTATTATTTATTATTATTACTTTAAATATATTTCTTTATGACTGCCTTTCGATTTTAATAAAAATTACGATTATGAATAACTAAATTTTACTATACTTTCTAACCCATGTTAAAAACCAAAATTTGTTTATATAATGTCGAAACTACAAATCTTTCATTTCTGATTGATATATATTTTTGATTAATATATATTTTTCTATAAATTTTATTTTTGCAACAAGTGTATTGAAAGTGCGGTGTTCGACCTTTTGCACTCCAACTCTGCTCTAACGTTGTTATTTGCGTGGGTTCGCATACAATTTGCATACCCTGCATACATCAAAACCATTGAAGGGCACACCAAATTGTGAGATATGTAATATAAGACAATGCATATCGATGAAGCGTTCTATATAGATGTTACAATACTTATAACTTTTTTAGTTAAGGCTGTAATATCCTTGCTAGAGAGCCAAAAATGTTTTATTAGGATTTGTCAGTATATCTTTTAAGTAATCATTCCTTGATTAACTTCAAAAGAAAAATTTTATATATATATATATATATATATATATATATATAAACATGTAAATTGCCTATAAAACTGTTATTTAAAAGAGTTTCAATGCAGTAACGGTTCTTAATAATAGGGTATTTTATAGTCTAGACTCAGCATTTGTTATTTTGTTGTGGGTTTTGTGCACATATGTATGTAAATTGGTTCGCATTATTGAATTTCCTGCACATGTCTGCTGGCCAGCAACTGGCGTGTCCATCTTGCACATCGCATGTTTATGTTGTGGAAGGGGTTCCTTCAGCCGTGACCGTGACTGGCAGTCTGTAACCCCAAACACCCATAACAATTGTGCCGCCCTTTGTGTTGCCTCGTGAATTCTAAATACAAAGTCGTCCTTGTCTGGAGATGTGGTTCAGCTGATGTTGTTGTGGCTGCTGCTGCTGCTGCTGCTTCTATAGCTTGAAAATTTTAATTGCTTTGGGCAACGCGTTAGCGCCCTTTGCCTTTCGGTCCTCGCACTCTTTGCCAAGCAGTAACAAATTCCCTTAGCAGCACAAGAATCGGAAAATGGAAAATTTGCTGAGTCGAAGACGAACACAGAGAAGCCAAAAGCAATAAATTCTCAAATGCAAATAAAAATCGGCTCTTGTGCAAATATTTTTATATTTTGTTGCCTTTCTCTCATTCTGTCTCTCTTTTGGCTTTCCTGCGCGATTGTTGTGGGCGGTGCCGTAGACATTGCCTCCAAGCACACACACGCACTCACCCACATCACACACGCACGGTAGCAGCACATCTTGGAAAGCTCGACCTTGGTTTCTATAGCGACCTTTGTCTGGCCACGGGACAGCGCTCGCTCGGAAGCCTTTGACTGTCCCCAATTTAAGTCCAGACAACGTGTTAATAAGTTGCCTTGGCTATTATGGCAAAATAGAAGAAAATCTTTGTCCAAACATCCTAACATACAGATCTTATACTTTTTATTGCCTAATTTAAATCAGTAATCAGTAAATATTCTTAAATATAAATTCCATTCTTGATTTTCTTCGAGCACGATGCAAATATTTTCGCCACGTCATAATTACTTTTACAACTTTTGGGACTTAAAGATGAGTGATGAGAGAAAATAACTTTCAATTGAATTTGCGCGCGGGTTTTTAGTCAATGGTTGAGTTATTGAGAAATATTTTCCTGTGTCAACCCGTGTTTGAAAAAGAAAGAGAAAACTTAGTTAGCTTAACAGCTTCGACAATCGATTGATTAGCAATATGTGAGGCAGTTACTCTTAATATTAATTTTTATATATTTTCTGTTTATTTTCAAAAAATGTTTATATATCATCATATATATCATATATATATTTGCCACGCGCTACGTTTTACTTATTCATTATTGTCGGGGCCACGATGTATTCACACCGAATGACACAGATACTATCATCATCAGGCAATTATTTTGGAATATCAATTGGTTAACATGGAGGGAAAATCGAATGAGGCATCCAAGACATTGTCATTTTGATAAAGGCTGCCGATGGGCGTGTCTGCATATGTATTCGTGTATTCACAAAGCATACGTAGTATTTGCATAGTTTGCGTCGATGCTGACGCAAAAAATATGAAGAGTTTTAAAATAAATCAACTCATCGTTCTTGTTATTATATCAGTTGCCTATTTGGCTATTTTTATATTGCGTTCGCTTCTGTCTTTCTTTTTTTTTTTTTTTTTGAATACCCTAGGAAAATTAACCCTTTCGAAAGGGGTAGTTAAATAAATTATATTTTATGATCATTAAACAGGCTAGCAAAATGAATTAATTTTAATGTTTTGATGTTTGAAATTTTAGTGGACTCATTTATATATATATGCCTGATTGCTATGTAAACTATTTAGAGTTAATCTACCGAAAATATGTTATAATTATGAATTAAAATTTAAATAACACTTTGTATGCCCATTACAAGGTATCTGTTAGTCACTCACTCAAAGCGGAAGCCTGTCTCCATATACTGCTCTTGGCAATTGACGAACTAAACACGGGCCGGCTCTTTCGTCAATCGGTTAGTTTCGAGAGTAAGACTGGGTGACTGTTGCAATTGAACAGACGTCAGAGCGAGTGGAATGGCTCGTTGAGCACAATGGAATCAGTGTACTGATTGGCATTGTCGACGCCTTGGTTTGAATCGAAGAAGCATACCTAGTTGGGGCATAAATACTGGCAGTACAATGCCTATTTATGTATGTACGCTTCAATTACCGATAATAACAACTGTTAATTGTTATCAGTATAGTCAGTAACTGGGGAGAACTTGTCGACACCGGCTGCACCCGAGTTCATTTGGTGCGTCAACGCACAGTTATCAATGATAAGCCTCGACCAATGACGACCACCGTGGCAATGAGTTAACCCCTCAACTAATACCCTTGCAGAAAGCTAAGCTACTTTCTTAAAAAATGTGTAGCCATTGGAGTTTAATTATAAAAAACACAGTAATAAATCTACTAAGTCTACATATGGAACGAAAAGTTCTAACCTTTCTACATCTTTGCTTTATCAAATTTACGATAGACTAGGCTATACAAAAAGTCTCTGTGCCACTCGTTAGGAAATTAAATACTGTAAAAGATTGCTTCCTACTTTCAATCATATAATATATCCAAAGTTTGAGTATATTAATTTTCATTGATTGTTCCATCTTTTGTATTATAAATAGATACTTATATAAAGAGGCAGATGATTATGATCTAATTACATTACTATTATCGTCCTTTGTATGCAAGAGTATTTTATATTAAGCACTTGGTGAAGTTCCTTGTTGTCCATATTGATAATTCGTTTTGCGGCTAACGTCCTGCGCAATTTCGGCAACACATGTCTCATTTGGCCACATTTTGCATAGGTTGATATTTTAGCGTCAGCTTGGGCTTGTCATCAGTTGTTACTGACAGCCAGCAACAAAAGGGCCTGTCTGCAAAAATGTGTCAAAAGCCCAAGGCTATACTCGATAACCATCGAAACTTGTGAGCACATCTAGTTGTTAGGTAGGCTAGTGGGTGGACGGCTGTCATTCGAGTGGGTCCCGAAATGTCGCCCCCACAGCCGGCGCGCCTAACATTGAGAGTTGAGTCAGATAAAAACTTAATTTCTCAACAAGCGTTTCGTCTTATCATGCCAAAGTTGATGAATAGAGAAACTGCGTTACTCTGTTGTTCACAAGCTATTAATAAATTATTACAGCTTTTTACGAATTTTTCTATTTAATTTTTGAATTCTGGAAATCAAGCTGAAAAGGACTTTTTGCTAAGGCTTTGCATTTCACAAAATAAACTTCTCTTTTTACACAAAGCATTTCATGCATATTTATAAAGCAGACCAAATCTTACCTTGACTTAGGCTTAAAGTATGTTTCTTGTATGAGCGGTGCTTTATGCCTTCCCTTCCTTTCATACTTGAATAGTAATTTAACATATTTTTTCTGTCGGGTACTTGGCATTATTATTTTTTTGTTGCACTGAGAACCTAACTAAAAAGCTCGTCTGCTATATGTTTTTATTAATATAGTCAATACATTTAAAAAATATGTTTCTTATAAGTACGTTCAATTACCACATGTTACATTTTATAATTACTTAACTAAGCGGCATTTATGGAGCTGCTTTTGATAGGCCGCAATTTTTAATTAAATATTTTTCTACATGCCACCGTACTGTTGCGCTGCCTTTTATTTACCAATAAACTCAAACCCGAGCTGCTGCTGAGAATGTACCAGGAAAAGCTCTCATAACTGTCAAATGTCACATACTCAACGCACAGGTTGTTTTGGTTATGTATACCAAAGGTCGTGTTTATTAAAACTTTGAG